TGTTTTTTTAATCAATTTATTTTCCTCTAAACACATCCCACTGCGCTAAACACATTCCTACTTGCAATCTAAACACGTGCTCATTATATGATGGTGTAGGTGTGCGTATCACTAAAATTACGCGGAAGCCTCTTTGCTTATGAAAGGTGTTCTAGGCATTTGCCAATTCATGTGATGCATTCCTACTTATGAAAGGTTTTGCTAATATACATTGTTGTTAAGCGGGTTTATTTTTTTTGCGCTTGCCAGTTGTCGGCTCATATGCGCGCGCGGTCTATATTCCCTACATCTAGGGTGCTTCTCATTTGTTTCAAAGATCCAAGACACTTTTGTTGCTCCTACAAATCGCAGTTGTCGTTGTTCGACATGGGCTAAACTCCTACTTTTCTTTCTATTTTCCTCATCTACGTTGCACTTTCCACCTATAGTCATAGTGAATTTGTAACCTCGATTCATATGCATGCATTCACGTCATAGACTATTCTATTCTACTATTGTTATTCATTGATCGTTTACAACATCCGCAGTCCTTTTCAAACATACAATGCTTGATTAAGATAATGAAAAAGGCATCATAGCTTATTGACTTTTCGATAACCATTGTTTCCTTCTTTGCCAAAGTAATTGTTGTTCTTCGAGTGATATGTATGACATAAATAGTACGGTAAAGGCATCAATAATTGTTGTTCTTCGAGTGAGATGACATATATAGTATGGTAAATGCATCCAAAAATTGTTTTCATTCGCTCCGCAGCTAAATCCTTAACCCCCCTCCTATGATTGTGTCCGATGGATGCGTGATTTGAGATTTTAGGATATTGGTTGCTCTAAATTTGTTAGGGTTTTTACCTGTAATATATACTTAGCTTGAATTTCCACAGATTTTTTGCACTCTTATTATCTTTAAAGCTTCTCACTTATTCATATATTCTAGGATTAGATTGATGTGAAAAATGGAAAAGAAGTGAACAACCATAATCCTATATCACAAAGCAAAATTATATCGATGAATGGAATATGATTTGTGAATGTTAGCTTGTCTTAGAAGGGGAGCCTTGGCGATGGTAAAAAGCTTTTATCTTGTGACCATGAGGTCAAAGTCCTCGAAATGAATTATAATGCATGGAAAGGTAGATAAAAGACCCAAGTGGTACCCTTCCCCGACCACGCCTAAGCGGGAGCTACGGATTACAAATGATCCGAACTCTAATTAGTTTCAACTAATATTAATGCCTTTCAAATCCAAGTCACCGATGTGCTTAATGAACACTTCTAGTTCATTTAAACCTTAAACGTTCAAAATTTGACTTTCTTTTTTACATAGTGCATAACCTGCTAGAAATTAAAGCAAATGCTCCCATCAATTTTTATTTTCAAAGAAAGTTCCGCTTCACTAAATAAGATAGCAAATGAGGTCGATCAAAATTATTTTGTCTTATCATAGAATGAATCCATGTCTCAGGCTATATTCAAGCAAATCACTCTTGTTCTTTCGAGACAAATGCATCGCTCTTCGCATGTATCTCCGATCATATCTTCATGCATAGTTTGAGGTGGCCACATACTTCTCTGATTAAGATATAGTATTTCCCTTTCCTTAAAGAAAAGGCTTCCTTCTTGCTAATAACACACCTAATTACTATAGTTCCGAACATAGGTTGAAACACAATAGTGTCTTCTTTGCCATGACAGGTGAACCATTAGCATTGTACCCCAAAAAATATGATCTTTTTTTATGGACATGTCATCTATTGACATATTCATATAATATCTAATGCATATTACAGGCTTCAGCCACACACGGTTCAAAGCACGGTACATCTATCGGTCCTCTGGGAAGCACCAAAAAACAAAGAAAGGTACTATGTCACCATCAGATGCCAATTATCTGTACTCAATACAAAGGGTACATCATGAATTACCATCGCCGTTAACCAATTTCAGATACACATCAACAATACACGCATTGGAAGACTAAACGCATACAAAGATGCACCCAGATGAAATTGCAAAAGAGATTGCGGTACCATTTAACTTATATGTCGCCATTTTCAAGGTAACATATATACCACCAAAGCTTTATCATCCATTTAAGCAAAGCGAGTCTACAAGCAAATCTGCTTTCACGTGACGCTCCATGCAAATGAGCTTTGACTTGGAGATGTTACCGTGATGCAAACAACATGAATTGGCTCATCTACCGTGGATGGCGGTACATTCACCATGCCATAAACCGACACGGCTAATACCATCATGCTCTACATTTATCTGAAAACTCACTTTTCTCTCCTATAATTTGGAGTGCTTTTTAAACAAGTATTTTTATTAATGATTAGATCCAAACTTAATGTTTCAAAGTGTTTTCCTGTTGATTTTTTAGATTGATTGACATTTTGTTTCCACATCCTAGGTGCCTGTGTGGCTCCACCTTCATCTATGCCACTTCAATAGGTATGTTTCTCTTGCACACAAATGTATATGCGTGTGCTGTCTCTTCAAGTTCCACTTCATTTGGTCCTCTGAACCCCATTCTCTGCTTTTGTTTCCTACCGATATGTGCTCTTATAGTGAATTTTATAAAAACAAATGCAAACGCCAACATCTACAAATTTTTTCGTTGGTCCGGATTTGTATGGGATTAAACTCTAAGGACTCTTTGGATCATGAATCTAGCACATGATAATTGTACATGAATGTGTAACTTTTGAAATTAGTTGAGACACCTGCATTTGTTACCTTAGGTTCACATAATGACCATTATTTACTTTGCTTCGCTCCAAGCTGTAGTTGGGCCTTAATGAATTGTGAAATATCGATCTGATGATTCATGTTGTCTTTGAGGTTGTATGGAGAGAAGATAAGACAGTTGTAAACATTGCCAAGACATGTTTTCTATTTACAGCACATACACTTACCCAACGCGCGCAAGGGCGCGCGCATTCCACTAGTTAGAGACAATTTGACATCCCAATGAGCAGAGTAGACACAATGAAAACACAGGAAGCAGCTCGTATTATCACTACTACCTACTAGTACTAGTATCAACAGGTAGGCTAAAACGAGTAGAGAAGTAGATTTTGCCAACCTGCTAGTTGGGCTTATATAGCGGTAAGCCTGGATGCCTTCCTACCAGAAAAGTCCTTGCTCAGTTAAGTTGTTCCACCACAGTCCCTACTTTGTGAAGAAGTAGATGGTGGTTTTCCGAAAGACACCCTTAACGCTGTACGTACTTGTATAGGGCAGCTGGCAGCATTGGAACCGGATGGCAGTTCTGTACCAGGCCTGGTCTGTACACAATTTTGTGGCGTGCCATCCGTTTCGTTTGAAGCATTCGTACGTGCGCATTGACTAATGCCGTTCCGTTTCTCAAAAGCATAGTTCCGAATCGCTGTTTGAAGCAAGATTACGTTTTAAAATTTTTGGAAACAAAAATCTGTTGGTGGCCTGATACGATGGAGCGTTCAAAATTACCTCAACCAAAGCAGGGTGGGCAACTCTCCCAACCAAAAAGAAAGAATCTGTCTACCCAACATACGGTTATTTTAGCCCCTACTAATGATCAGATTTTGCCCATGCACTTACACTGTCTTATTACTATATTTACATTGTCTCATTACTATATTTACAATGCCAAAGCGCGTCTAGCTCAAATGGTTAGGTGACCCGGCGGCATTCCTCAGGTCCTGAGTTCGACTCCCCGTGGGAGCGAATTTTAGGCTGAGGTTAAAAAAATCCCCTCGCCCGTCCCCATATGCCAAAGCGCAGTTATGGCCCGGCCCGGTTCTCAGAGGGCAATGGATACCGCTGCGTCAGGATGAAGGCGGAGGTTTTCTCGATATATGTGAGAAGATCTTCTTAAAGGAAAAACCTAGAGCCATCGTAACCCCCGTAAGTCGAGTTTTTTTACAATGATTTTTTTAGTGTAATTTATTAGACATAGTAATGTAATTTAGAAATAACGTAAATATATGCTAATTTTTTTATAGATCCCAGACATCAGATAAAAATATATCAAATTATTCATAAATGTCAAATATCAGATGCAACCCCACTAGCCCCTACTGCCACGCCCACTGCCTTCAGGTCACACGGATCCTCTGCGCCCCGGTGACACACCCACAGCCACGCTGCACCAACATGTTGCAGAATCACGTCACAGAGGATCCTGGGGAGCCCATAATGACGCAGAGAGTGCATGTTGCAGGACGCGAGGGATCTGCCGGTGCACTTCGCACCTACGCGACACGTGTCAAATCTAATGGTTCAGAATTCGGGTTGTTGCATGGAGCGAGAATAAGCTTAAATAAGCTGAATCCAGCCGAACACGCTGTTAAGATACGATCCGAGCCGCGGTGGTGGGCAGCTAGCAGCAACGGCTCCCTCGCCCCGTCCTGCTCCTTCCTGCCACCGACATTCGTGGCGTTCCAGAAGGCTCCGCGTCGATTCCATGCACCACGCCGTGCATGGATATGATGCACGTACGCCGCCGCCCATGCATGCGCGCTCGCCGTGCGGTGTAGAGGCCGGGCCGGCTCCCACGCGTTGGACTTGGCGTGCGTTAAGCTGCAAAGGGTGCGGGTCGAACCGCTTCCGAATACGCTCCGCTCCTAAAATTTGGCTGTGGCTCGATTCGGGTCGACACGAAATAGAAGAGGGGCAAAAGGGTCGCGACCCTATCGACCCTCTGGTCGACCCGCCGCCTCACCTCGTTAGCTGCTCACCGCCGCCTCGCCTCGTTCGCGCGCCTCGCCGGCGAGCGCGTCGAGGGCGCCGCCGCGGTCTCCTGCGCGCTGGGCGACGTCCTGGCTGCGCTCACCGTGTTCTTCCCGCTCGACGACGAGGCCCGCCGCTGCATTGCCTCCCCGGCGTCGCTCAAGTCCCTCGTCTCCGTCATGTCCCACGGCGAGCTCCCAGCGCGGGCCGGCGCCGCCTTGGTGCTCCGCGAGCTCGCGTCGTCGGCGGACGGGCACACCATGTAGGCCGTCCTGAGGACCGCGGGCATGTGCGACGCGCTCGTCGGCCTCGTCTGGAACCCCATCTCCACGCAGGCCACCAAGGCCGCGCTCGTCACGGCCTACTACCTCGTCGCCGCCTCCGACCGCGGCGCGGCGCGCTTCGCGGAGCTCGGCGTGGTGGCAGTCCTCGTGGAGGCCCTCGTCGACGGCGTCCTGTGCGCCGACGCCGGCCTCGCGGCCGCGCGCGCGCACGCGCTGGCCGTGCTGGTGCTCGTCAAGAAGATGTTCCGCGTGTCCGACATGGCCACGGATATCGTAGTACGTACTCGTAGTGAGCAACAGCGACACATGCATATCATAGACGGGATCACGCACTTGATATCGTGTACGTGAGCAGCAGCGACACATACATATGTGGGCTGGCCGCGGTTCGTGCGGACCAGGCGAGGGCACGGTTCAGGTTCGATCCGTGAACCTCTTTTGCGGCTCATGGAGCGGGGGGTCGGGGATAGGAGCGCTCCGAACCGCCCCCCTTGCAAATATGCGTGCGTTTCAGAAGCTGCGCTCTCTCCCCGGCCTGCAGGTACAGGACCCCCAGCCCCAGCCAGCCGATTTGATCCATCAGTTCGATTTCGATGGAACGACAATAATAAGGAAGGAAGAAAATTAATCCGATCCTCGAGCCAAAGGCTCTCTTTTTTTATCGACGAAAGAAGAATTATATTAGATAATAGCCGGTATATGAACACGTTACAAGCATCCTGGATTACACAAATATCCAGAAACTAATTTTCATCTAAATTGTACCCACGCTGTGAATAGCTCTAGATTTCAAACCTAAACATGTACGACGCTTTGTAGTATGGATGACCGCACATGCAAACATTCGGCAAAAGGTCTGAGGACAGATGCCCAACGAACGACGGCCAACATTCATGTAGGCAAAGTTGAGAAACTTCGTTCTTTCTGGTGTCTTTCTTCTTCTTCGTTCTGCCACCGAAAAATGAGGAAGACTGATCTAAAACTTATTCTCCCTATCCCTTTATTGTGGTCAGATCTAACCATAATAAAACGGAGAAAATACCGGAGAAAATTATTCCATAACCGGAGAAAATTTCTCTCTAATGGGTTGGGCGTGGCTTGGGTTTATGACAAATCTAGGTTGAGGCGGGTTGGAGGTTTTTCCCCCTTTGGGATTGTGTGGGTTTAACTCATGGGTTTAGTTTCAAGGTCCGACTCTTGACGTGGGGCCTATATGTGTAGATTTAGTCGCATAACTCTGCACAAATTAATAGACTGTCAAATTGAATCATCTCCAACTATTTCACTCAATTTTTTAAGGTGTAATAGTTTTAGGGTTCGACCCTTGAGGAGCGACCCACATATAAGTCTAGCCGCACTACTTTGTACAAAGCAGCCCACTGTCAATTTGAGTCATCTCTAGCTAATTTTGATTAATTTCTCAAAAAGTTTAAAGTGTGAACGGGAGGTTTTAGTTCTAGGGTCCAGCTCTTAACGTGGGGCCCACATATGAGTCCAGCCACACTACTTTGCACAAATTAGCGAGCTGTCAACTAAGTCTTCTCTAGCAAATTTTGATCAATTTCTCTAAACTTTTAAGGTGTGAACGCAAGATTTTAGTTTCGGGGTCTGGCTCTCGACGTGGGGCCCACATATAAGTCTAGCCGTACTACTTTGCACAAAGTAGGGGATTGTTAACCGGTTCATCTACAGCAAATTTCAGTCAATTTCTCGAAAATTCTAAGGTGTGAACGTCATGTTTTAGTTCTCATGCTCCTATGCAAGGTCCACATATAAGTCTAACCGCACTACTTTGTACAAAGTCGCAGACTGTCAAATTAAGTCATCTCTAGCTAATTTTGATCAATTTATCAAAAAATTTAACGTGAGGTTTTAGTTCTAGGGTCCGGCTCTTAATGCGGGGCCCACATATGAGTCTAGCCACACTACTTTGCACAAATTAGCGAGCTGTCAACTAAGTCATCTCTAGCAAATTTTGATCAATTTCTCTAAACTTTTAAGGTGTGAACACAAGATTTTAGTTTTAGGGTCCAGGTCTCGACGTGGGGCCCACATATAAGTCCAGTTGTACTACTTTGCACAAAGTAGGATATTGTTACCATCTGCAGCAAATTGTAGTCAATTTTTCGAAAATTCTAAGGTGTGAATGCGGATGTTTTAGTTCCAGGGTATGCAAGGTCCACATAAAACTCCAGCCACACTACTTTGTATAAAGTAGCGGATTGTCAAATTGAGTCGTTTCTGACAAATTTTAGTAAATTTTTCTAAAAATTTAAGTCGTGAACGCAAGGTTTTAGTTTCTGGATCCGACTCTGGACGTAGGCCCCACGTAGATATAATTTTATTGTAAACGTCTACATGATTTTTATATAAACCTGTAGATTTATGTAGCAAACTCATGGAGTAGATCGAGTCCGTCCGGGCGTGTGCCGCTGGCTCCACGCGTTGGCCTTGGCGTGCGTTTCGTGAGATGAAGCGGACAGAAACTGCGCTCTCTCTCCTGCCACTGTCTGCAGGTGCAGGACAGGAGTCAGGAGCAGCCAAGCCAGCCGATTTGATTCGGTTCGAGTTCGATCAATGCAACCAAGATCCTGGAGCCAATAAAGCGTGCGAGCGAGACGAGCACGCAGCGCAGGGGCTCTGCAGCGACGCGGTGGCCCTGCCAGCTGCCATCAACCCATCATCGCCTGCGCGCGGTGCCGTCGGCCCGTCCCGTTCCGATGCCACAACGCAGGTCGCACCCGCACCCGCACCCTCCCTGCTTTTCGCGACCGGCCGCACCACCACCCTTTCACGGAAACGGTGGCAAGCGGGTACGTTGCGTTGGAGGATGGGCACCACCCTCGCACAGACACTGCGGTCTTGTTTAGTTCGCGGTTAGAAATCAGTATTTGGTACTGTAGCATTTTCGTTTGTATTTGATAATTATTGTTTAATTATGGTCTAACTAGGCTTCAAAAGATTCGTCTCGTAATTTATAATCAAACTGTGTAATTAGTTATTTTTTATCTACATTTAATACTTCATGTATGTGTCTAAAGATTTAATGTAATAAAGAGAGAGTAAAAAAATTTGGAATCTAAACGAGACCAACAATCTCTTTCGGGTCGTAGTCGTAGCTTTTTCTTCCTCGGTCGCCGGCAGAAAGAGGATCGGCGTCCGCTCTCCTTGGCAGGACGCGCGCCTGCAACCAACCCTCTGCGGCCCTGCAAAGCTGGAGCTGGTGCCTGCTGGTGCTGCAAAAGCAAACGAATCGTCCGAAACCCCCACGCACAGACAAAACTGTGTGCGCAGAAACATGCTTTTTCTTCCTCCTCGGTCGCCGGCAGTTTAGGGACGCCGCTACAGAGAGAGAGAGAGAGAGAGAGAGTTGGAGGGCATGGAGAGGGAGTAGCAATGCCTGCCAGCGCTTGCACTTCCGTGCGTAGCGAAAAAAGTGCGAGACGAGTGGCAACCAACACGTTTGGGTGCCTTGCCTCGGTGCCCACAAGACTGATCGTCTGCCCATACCCCTGCAGAGTTGCAACACGGTGTCCTCTCTACTTGACATTGGCCTCCACAGCCCATGACTGAAAAAAAATGCCACCTAGCTTAGTTACCAAATAACCAAAGTACTAGTATTTTTTTCACTGTGCTAACTAGGCACCGAGTAAACTCACATTACTTTGGTGTGGGGGAATCCAAGTGCAGGGAACAAGCTACATTGCAGTATTACCAGTAAAACAAGGGTACGAACTCGAACACATAGTTCAGCTAGTGGTAGTAGATAGATATTGCCCTGTTCGTTTGGCTGATAAGTCATAGCTGAAAGTACCGTTGACTGATTTGTTGTGAAAGAAAAATGTTATTCGTTGACTAAAAAAATACGGCTTATAAGCCAAACGAACATGACGTATAGCCGATGAAGTACTGATACATCGATCCAAACGGCACCACAGAGGAGGTAGACTAGCATTATATATAATTATATATACCACATAAAGCCCAAGAACTACAACTTAGAATGACAACACAGTACGTAGAGACCGAAATGACAACAAGGAGAACGAAACTAAGGAAACACCTCAAGAAGAGCCTAAAACGAACTTGACCCAGATCGAACACGGAGAACTAGTAGGTGGTGATCATGGCAACGATCGACATCAGCCATTCAGCCTCAACAGTGCAAGCGCTCAAGACAACAACAGCCTGTTAATTACATCCAAAACTAAACAGATCCTTGCCAGTTCCCTGAACACAAGTTACTAGCTAGTTGATTTCATGCACGAAAGTCTGCAAGATCGATGGATGTATACGTCTGCCAGCAAGATAGATTTTGCTTCGTTGTCGAGTGTACGTTCTTGTAGTGCATGGGGATGTTGGGGCCATAGAGCAGAGGTAGGGGCTGCTCGCAACGCCGACGAAACAAGCCTCCCCGCAGGTCATCCAGAGTGCTCACCGCTTCACTAGGTTCAACGATAAGCCCACCGGGAGAGTGTTGCATATATATTTCAAGAGGAATCTGACAGCTTATATTGACAAACTTACATTTACATTCATGCCACACTTTTGGCATTAGTTTACACTTAATTTGGCGGAAACGTATATGTATATAAAAATGATTAGAGAGAGAGAGAGAGAGAGAGAGAGAGACTAGGAAGGGATCCTTAGGTACATAGTGTAAACACTGGAATCTTAATATGACACGGCCCAAAGGCATGTTGTCTTCTACTCCGATCCTGTGCCCCTTGCTCCCAACCTATGGCTACTCCAAGAGAACCATTCTAACTGTTTTTCCCCCTTCACCGTACTGCAGTGGATTTGCTTTCTTGATGACTGCCTCTTATTTTTGTTTTCTTTTTTCTTTTATGCAAAACCGCTAGCTGGGTCGCTTTCGGGCTGGATTTTTCTTACATCCCGTTCAACATTGGAGCTCACTGCAGGCAAGGTCATCAGAATTAGTACAGTGATACTTTGAAGCCAAATGGACCGATTGATAGAACCACATATATTGGCCTTTTTTTTTACACAAACTTATACTCCATCTGTCTTGAAATACAAGGGATTCAAGTCTGTCCTAAGTCAAATTGTGTTAAGTTTGACCAAAATAAGAAAAAAGAATAATAGTTATGACATTAAATTGGTATTATTGACACATTACAAATCATTTTTTTCATAATTTACATCTTTGATATGGTAGATATTAATACTTTTCTCTATAAATTTGATTAAACTTTACATAGTTTAGGATAGACTTAAATTCTTTATATTTTAGGACAGAGCTTCTGCAAAAGAATATCCAACGAAGCAACATTCATGCAATCAAACATTCTGATTCCAACTGAATCGAGAAATTCAACACTACTTGAATCCTCATAGAATACTGCCAAAACTTTAAACCCCAGTGTACTAGTCTTAAGTTCTCTACTTATGAAATTCAAAATTTTAAAATTCTCGGTGGGATGGAGACACGCTCTATACAAAATTTTTAGCGCTTAAAGAGATCTAAAAATTTCTAGTTGATTTTTTTCATTTGGAATTATTTAGGAACCTAAATATTTAATAAAAGATAGCATGACTAAAAAATTGAAGATATGTGGGTCCCACATGCCACATCAGCCAAAACCACCATCGAAATCACTCTAAACTATTTAAGTAGAATAATTTATCTTAATTTTAAAATTAAGGGCAGGGGCATAAATCGTCCGATATTCGAGTTCAAAGATGTCTTTTAAATTCAGCGATAAGTTCAGAGGCCAAATTGAATTGGACTTTACTCTATCTCAGATATGCCACTAAATTCAATCAGGATATAATCATAAGAATTCTGATGGATTGTAGTTTCATTTTTCTTGAGAGGGTCTTTGTAAGATTTGGTGTAAACATTAAGAAGTTTATGTAATATAGTTTTCCCGGTTTCTCAAAAAAAAAGAAACTTTATGGACAACCACCACGAAACCGGGCAGCAGAAAAAAATCAGATTCAACCGTCTGGCAGGACACCACATATATATACCACACTCCACATGCAAGACGAAACATCTGTTGCTGTGGAAGATAACAGGTGCAACGAACGAGTGAGAGACGAAACGAAGACAGATTGACAACACCGATAGCGCTGGTCCTCAGTTTATACACATCAAGGATGATGAAACACATCAAGGATGCAGGGTTCATCATGCTTCGTCAGGATCCTAGGTGCGTAGGAAGGAAGCCTCCATGGACTGCAGGATGCTTGCCGTGTCAAACCTGAAGTTTCTGAAGCTGCGACCAGGGCGGTTGTCAACATGATGCGCCTGCACGTCAGATCCTGCTTTAGCAACAGGGTTCTCCACTGGGGTACTGCCACTTGACGAATTCTTCGCCTTCCACACAGTACCTGTCGGACACCACATAATAACCAAATGAATGCCACGACTTTAGGGAGAAAACCTAGGCTAGTCTGAAGTAAGACGTCAACTGACTGACTTCTGACATAAAAACTAGGCGAATTTGTAGCAAGAACTATTACAAATAATTCAAAGTTTTTTTTCTTCCATTTTTGTAATCTTGGCCAGAATGGGTAAGGGCCCGTTCGGTTGAGGCCATTCCTGGCCGGAACATATCCCGGTGATGCATGGCCGTATAAAATTCAATAGTATTCCTGGCCGGATCCGTTCCAGGCCTTGAATACCTGGAAACCGAACGTGCCCTAAAGGGGAGCAGAAGAAACCTCTAGCAGATGTCTCTGGTTTCTGATGCAGTGGTGGAGGATGCGTGGCAATCCAAGCCTTAAGACCCCTGGAAAGAGAACAAGGCAGGAGACAACAATGTTTAAGCAACAATTTTACGCTTTGGAAAATTAGAAGTAGATCAAGCCACAGAATAAAAAAAGCACATTTTTGGTTTCCTTCTTTTTTGAGAGCATCTATAATAATGGCAATGCCCCCATAACAGCATCTTCCCCCAACAAATAAAGTAGAACGTGGATCACAAGGTACTTACGTCAAAAATGGAGCAACCATATACAGCTTCATTCCATTCACTGCCCGAGATACTGCGTCATCACTAGCTGGTAAGAGTTCATCAATTCTGTGCCATGAGATTTCCTAACAAATTTGCAGAGGAAGATAGCTCAGTGGATCATTTCATACCTTTTAAAAGGGAAAAGAAAACAACAGAAACAGAAAAGGTACAATGAAGGACAATCGCCAAGGAGAGCAGCAATAAGCCTTGCAAAGTAAATGTGCATCACTGCCAATAAAAGCGATCACGAACAAGATTCAGAACTATGCATACACTGATTTCCTTCTTGGTTTGAGGTGCAAACACAGTATCTCTTTTAACCCCTGTTATGATGTAGAGCCGAACCCTTTGTTGTCCAATTGAAACTTCAATGTAATCATCGAAATTTAAAAATGTAGAAACATCACACCCAGTTTCCTCTAGAACCTGCATTGTTATTCAAGTAGATGTTAGTTAGCAAAAAACTACTATATGCTGAACAGGAGGAACTAACGAATATAAGCATTAGAAGTGCTCCAGATTAGAGAAAGGATGAAATATTATCAACACGGATCTTCGAGTACCTCATGCAAAGT